ATCGTCGTGGTTTGCGCGCACGACGTGCACCTGCGAGCCGTGGTTGTGTCTTTGGTCCATAACTTCTGTAATATCGTGGGGCCAGGAGGTGGTCGAGGGCAAGCAGTGGGCGTCTAGGCTGCATTGCGCTGATCTGGGCGTGGACTCTCTCTGATCGATGCCGCCTCCGCGACGCAGCTACCCGAACCCGTTCCTCTTCGTCGCCATTTCTGCCGCCTCCTACGCCGTCTTCTACGCCATCCTCCAACACCGTAATACCGCCTACCCCGCCTCGCAGCAACCCAGACAGTACGAGAGCCCCCGCATCCCCCCGAGGCACCTCAACCGCGACGACAACCCCAAGGATAATTAGTCTCTCTATCACCTAGTCACTAAGCATGCCTGCTATCGTCGACAAGATCGCAGAGGCCCTCCACCTCCCCGGCCATCACAAGCACAGCGAGGCCAAGCCCGCGGACGCCTCGTCTGCACCCGCGGAGCCTGTGTCTGCCAGCGCGCAACCCCCGCAGACCAGCGACGCTCCGAAAGCCAAGACTCCGGTGTTCAGCAGCGAGAAGGTGACCGTGCTCTATGTCCTGGGCGGCCCCGGCGCAGGTGGGCCGTGTATTCTCAGCCCCGCGCAGCCCGGTCTAACGTCCGCACCCCCGCAGGCAAGGGCACGCAATGCGCGAACCTCGTGCAGGACTTCGGCTTCTGCCACCTGTCCGGTACGCGTTCCGCCCCTACTCCCTTTCCACACAGGCCCTTTCCCTGATACCGTGCCCCGTTCACAGCGGGCGACCTCCTCCGCGCGGAGCAGGACCGCCCGGGCTCGCAGTACGGCGAGATGATCCATACGTACATCAAGGAGGGGCAGGTCGTCCCGATGGAGGTGACGATCAAGCTACTGGAGAACGCCATGCGCGCGGCGCTCGAGGAGGGCCGGGCGGGCGAGGGGTGGGGCGAGGGCAGGGGTCGTTTCCTGATCGACGGTTTCCCGAGGAAGATGGACCAGGCGGTCGCCTTCGATGAGGAGGTAAGCCCTCGCTTCCGTTGCAAAATACCCGGGCTCATCGGCCCGTCAGATCTGCGAGTCGAGGGCCGTGCTGTTTTTTGTCACGACCGAGGAAACGATGACGGCACGTCTCCTCGAGCGCGCCAAGACCAGCGGGCGGGAGGACGACAACCTCGAGAGCATCAAGAAGCGCTTCGTCACCTACAGAGATACGACCATGCCCGTAATCGAGTACTACAACAAGAAGGCCAAGGTTGCTGAGGTGAGCCCTGTGCATTCTCGCCTGTTTCACGTCAATTAACACGGAAAGACAGATCGACGCGTCCCTCTCCATCGAAGAGGTGCACGAGAAGGCGAAGGCCGTCGTCTCGGACCTCCTCACCGGCAAGGCTACGCGCAACGTCACCGCATAAGACATCGTACAATTGGTTACAGCGCAGTTCCTCTAGCTATTTACATTGGTCTCATACATATAGAAACACGGACACAATCTAGCAATTCCGAAGCAATCAATCCAATACCCAGCCAAATATACGAAATTTAAGCATACACATGGATAGTGCATCTGTTTAACTCATTAGTCGCCGTACAAGAGGCTTTGCCTCCAGGCTCAATTTGCAGAATCTCGCCGTCAGCGCAGACCAGATGCGCCTTGTCGTCTCCTTCGTCCTGTACATGCAATGAGCTCGCTGACCGTTTCTTAAAGGTTCGTACTCACCGGGATCCATTCCCACCCCTTGCAGCGGACATATTCCACAACCGGGGCCCCGTTCCCGTCCTTCGCCACCTGCCCGTCCTGACCATAGGTCATCTTCACATGCGCTCCGTCCTGGTAAGCACCGCCCAAGACGGCCATGCACTTCTGCGAGAACTGTTCTCTGCTGCTCTCCGAGTCGTCAGCCGTTTGCTGATCCCTCAGAGGCCGCACGATCACGACATCGAGGGTGGGCGGTTCTGGCAGAGCGGGAGGAGGAAGTGTGGCGTGCAGGGGCGTGATACGGAAGAAGGGCTCGAGGCGGTCGACGTTGACAGTGGACAGGAAATACACGTAAGGTCCCGTAAATTCCAGATCCTCACAGGGCACAAATCGGTCTTCCGAGGGACTGTAGATGGTGCACGGCGGCTGGAAGCGAACGGCAGCCTTGTACCAGCGAGTGATGTTCTCCTGCGCGGCCATCTTGAACCGCTCGATGCCAGGGTGTGCGGCCCTGAGAGCCTCGGAGTCGTGTAGAATGGACGCGTGGAGGGCCGTGGACGCCACGACCGCCGATAGCGATGATGGCTTCGTCCCAGGGGCTGCTCCGGCGTTCTGGAGGATGGTAGCGGCGAGCGTGAGCGGACGCGTGGAGGGCGTGTCGGCGAGGAATATACGGAGTGATTTGAGTGGGTCTACGGTCTCTTCTGCGCTCTGAGGGGGGAATAGCGACGAGTAGAGCGCGTTCGCTGTGCCGCAAGGGACGAGGACGATCTTGATGTCGCGATGGGCTCCAGAGAGCTGCGCATCTCCCAAAGCGCAGATGATTTCGTGCAGCGTACCGTCCCCCGACCCGAGGACGATCGACACCTCGTCGCTCGTCGACCGTAGAAACTCCGCAACGAGCTCGCCCGCGTGTCCCGCATGAGCGGTTTCCTGGACGCTGTCCGGTTCCCTGCCGTGCTCGCGGAGCAGGGGTAGGACGGCATCATGGAACAGCTCCTTCGCTTTCCCGCTTCCGCAGACGGGGTTGTAGATGATCTGCAGCGGCATCAGCTGATCGTGCCAGGTGCGGGGTCGTCAAGCGCAAAGGCACTGGGACTGCCACAATGGAAGTGGACACCGAAGCCGCCAGGGACGCCGCCGGCAACCTGAGCACGAACCCAACGTAACGTTCAGGCGGGTGGGGTTCTCTTGAAGACCGACGGTTCTTCGCGTTTATACACCGACTACCGAGTCCCGACTACCGACTACCGAGGGATTACGTCCTTGGGTGCGGTAATCAAAGGGGTTGCTGGGTCGGTGCGGGTGGCAACACGCCTCGAACGCGGGGTGTTGGCGGACAAATGGGGACCCACAGGCGGGTATACTAAATCGACTCCTGCAAGGCGTGTGGGTGCACCGGGGTGGTTGTCCTGGATCGTCCTCCGCCACCGTCCAGACTCGAGAACGCCGCAGAGTCATTGCGCAAGGTTTGATGGGATGTCGAGCTGAGCCGAGCCGCATCCGGCGTCTGCGCGCCCATGCTGCTCAGACCCGACCGCCATCTCCGCGCCACGGTCCGCGTCTTTGCTCAGCTTCGCACCCGCACCATGGCCTCCGCACCGCCCGCTTTCAAGCCGTTCACGCTTGCGCTCATTCAGCTCGGACAGACGGGGGAAGATAAGACCGGTACTGCCTTCTCATGATGTGCGGGAGGTCTTGCTCTAGCTCTTATCCTTATAGCCAACCTCAAGCATGCGCGCGAGATGATCCTCAAGGCGGCGGCAGGGACAGATAGTGGGAGCAGACCCAGCCTGGTCGTCCTACCTGTGCGTTCAGTACTTAGCCATGCGTGCGACCTTGGCTCATGTTCAGCTTTTAGGAAATCTTCAATTCTCCCTATGGTGTCACGTACTTTCCCAAGTACGCCGAGACCATCGGTTACACTCCTGGAAAGCCATACAACGTCGAAGAGGCAGAAAGTGAATCCATCAAGATGCTATCTGCAGCTGCTAAGGAAGCCGGGGTGTGGCTTCTGGGAGGTAAGCTAACGCTTCGTGCCTTGGCCGTCATACTCAGCTGTCATACAGGTTCTATCCCTGAGCGTGATGCAGAGGGCAAGCTGTACAACACCTGTACGGTATACTCGCCTAAAGGTAAGTCCCCTTATACGTTCCGACATTGATACTCAATGCATCGTATCTCAGGAGAGTTGATCGCGATGCACCGCAAAATGCATCTATTCGACATCGACATCCCCGGCCAGATCACTTTCAAGGCAAGTGCGTGTTGCCTTATGCTATCGTACAACGACTCATCGTCCGAGTAGGAGAGCGAAGTCCTCACAGGCGGCTCGACCACAAACTACTTTGACACCGGTACGGCGGCGCCTTGCGATTTAAATCGGTATCTTACGACTGTTGGTAGAATTCGCGCGCATCGGACTCGGTATCTGCTACGACGTGCGCTTCCCCGAGCTGGCTGCTATCTCCGCACGACAGGGCTGCCACATGTGCATCTATCCCGGGGCGTTCAACATGACGACGGGTCCACTTCATTGGGAGCTCCTGCAACGCGCGCGGTACGCATTCGCGCGTCCTGCGGATAGCCTCATATTGAGATTTGTTTCGCAGTGCCGTCGACAACCAGATCTTCTTTGCGATGTGCAGTCCCGCTCGAAGCCTAGCCGCGAATTACCATGCCGTAAGTGCGCTTCTGCTCTCCGATGTAAAATCTCTCATTGTACATACGCAGTGGGGACACTCAATGGTCATCGATCCCATGTAAGCCTGTACCATCTTCGTTGGCTATGTAGCTCAACCCGCGCTCCAGGGCCCGCGTGACTGCGGAGGCGGATGAGAAGGAAACCATCGTGTTCGCTCACATAGGTCAGCTGCTTCCTATCTCTCTCGCATGCGTCGACTGACGAGGCGCATCAGATCCCGCCACCTTTAACCAGGCGCGAGCCGGCATCCCTGTCACGACGCAACGGAGGTTCGACGTATATCCCGACGTAAGCAAAGGCTTGTAGATAGTACCTCATGTGCCTGCGATCGTACAGTCTATGGATCGATCTTGTAAATCGTAGGCTCTATTTATGATCTGACATTGTAACCCGTGCGCATGCTCAGGAGTCAGGCATAGTACGAGCCGTAGGCCTCAGTCTCTGGCATCGTGATCATATACTTAACGCATCCACCTCCTTCCCATGTATCTCACCGTCTGGACGTGGTCTCATCTTCCTCTCAATCGACCCCACAACAACCTTACTATTGGGCCCAAATTCCAAACCGATCATGCTAACACATACTGTAGCGTCTGCGTCTTCAATGCCCCATGGCTGAGTTGGTTACAGCGTCCGACTGTTATGAAGGGTTCCTCAGGGACATCGGAAGGTCGTGAGTTCGAGCCTCACTGGGGCAGCTCTTTTTGTTACGTATCATTTCTCAACATGTTTAAATTTTTATCCTTGAAAGTTGAAACTTGGAAACTTGAAAGTCATTGGCCGCTGGCGGGACGGACGACGGACCGACCGACGACCACGGTATGACCGCACAGCGCAATAGCATGAGCAAACCCATTGTATTGCTGGACAAATCCATGCATGATACATGCGATATACCGCTGCACGCAGGAGGACTCGCTAACAAAGCGTTTATCGTTGATGATGCTTACCCCGCATCGCTCGACGCTCGAATCAGCAAGCGTCGAGCGACGGGAGATGGAAGGCGGAAACACATTGCGAAGTAGGGCATCGGCTGAATCCAGAATCCAGGATTAGCCGGGTCCATGCCGAAGGATGAGCTACGATCGGTAGCGGTGCTGACAACGTTGGTGTTCACGGCCGTCAGCATCGGCGCCGACCGTATGCACACCAACGCCGACAACACAACCAGCACGAGCAACGCCAGCGCCAGTGCCGTTAGCACTGATGTTGTCAGCGCCGACACCGATTGTATGACAACGCTGATGTCGGTGCCGGCGCCGACCCTGCTTGCTACAGGTCGACAACGCTGGCTGATAGTGCCGACGCCATACGCCACTTGCTTCGGCGTCGACAACGCTTGCCTAGGGTGCCGATGCTGCTCCTGGTCTTGACGATACCGGTCTTGGTGCCACAACGGTGACACGCTGCTTGATACTGGCGTCGACAACGCTTGTTGTTGATGCCGAGAGCCTTGGTCTTGACAGTATTAGCACTGATGCCGTACGCCGTTTGCTATGGCGTCGACAACGCTTACTGGAACCGCTTGCTCAGGTGTCGACAACGCTTGCAGGTTGTGCTTGCTGCCGATACTGCACGCCACTTGCTCTGACGTCGGCAACGCTTGCTGAGGGCGCTCATGGCGATTATTGCGAGTTGAGAGAGGATGGGGATGAGCGAGATAGAAGCAGGGATATCCTTGATGAGACCAGTGTGGACCAAACGACCCGATGTGCGCTGCAGGTCCAAATATGAAGACATGGAGCTATCGCACAAGGGCAAGTAATCAGAGCGATAAAGGAAAAATAAGGTAGTCCGTGTATACGCCTATTGAATGAGTATACGAGTAAGATTACCAGTGACAGCGGAAAGCAACGGCGAGAGCGGAAAGGAAGAGAGAGTGGGAAAGGAAGAGCTTGAGGAGAAAAGTGCCAGCAGGAGCGAGAAGGAGGGTGCGAGAGACGGTGGTAGCCCACCACCACCTCGATGATACTGGTCCTGATGACGCACGCCATGCTACTAGCGTCGACAATGCCTCATGGGATCCAGAGTACTGATGCCGCACGCCGCTTGCTCTAGGCGTCAACAACGCTTGCTGACAGTTGCGACTCAAAAGAGAACGGGAAGGAGGGAGAGGAAGAAGGAAAGGGGGAGATAGTTTGACAGGAGAGGGAGAATGAAGGAAACGTGGGTGGTGGTTGCGAGTCAAGAGATAAGATAGAGACAAGCGACATAAGAATAAAGAAAGAGGTTGGATTTGGAGAGGACGAACGGGGGAGGGGGGGAGGACGGGACGGCGGCGGTTTCGAGTCAAGAGGGGGGGAGAGCGTAACGAACCAGTGGTGTGTTCCAGTTCCCAGAGGCTGATAAAGGCCAGAAACTCACCGTTGTCAATTTCTGTCCGTTTTGCCGATACTTGTACTGATGCCGCACGCTGCTTGCTTTGGCGTCGACAACGCTTGATGGTACTAGTCCTTGATACCGCAAGCCACTTGCTGTTAGCGAAGGCAACGCTTGAAGGTCCTGATCCTGATGTCGCAAGCCATTTGCTCTGGGCGAGGACAACGCTTGATGAGACCGAGGACACGGATGCCGCACGCCGCTTGCTATAGGCGAGGACAACGCTTGATGGTACTAGACCGGATGCCGCACGCCGCTTGCTGTTAGCACCGATGGTACTGGTCTTGACGATGTTGGTCCCGATGCCAGCGCCGCTTAATTTTATATCGACAACGATGGCTGTTGCTACTAGGATGGAAGTGGCTGCGTGCCAAGAAAGTATGTGGAATGCGAAAGAAAAGTGAAGACTACATACCAGGCAGTGAAATGTTCCACCACCCTGGGGGGCTGACAGGTATGTCCCATCCCCCCAGAGGCTGGCAGGAGCGAGAGACTCAACTTGTACAGTATGGGGTATCCTTGTTCATGATGTGCGCGAAACGAACCATGTGCGCTCTAGGTCGTATCGTGGAGGAAGCTGCGAGAAACGATAGCTAGTAAGTTAGAGCGGTGAGAACGAGATAGTGTTAGTGCGGGTACTTGCCTGATGAGTATTGAGCCAGGATAATAGAGCGTCACTAAAGGCGAAGGTCGCAGTGAGAGCGATGGTGGGCGACGGCCGGGAAGAGCGCGTAAAACGTGACCGGGGGAGAGGGCGAGAGATGGTGGTGGTTCAAGGTTGAGAGTCAAGAAAGATGAGATGGAGCCCGAGAGAGAGAGCGGGTTTATATACGCTTCCACGGCACGACGTGCTTCTGAGGCTGCCGGTAGCAAGGGATCGGGGCATGTCCAAAGTGGGAAGAGGAGGGAGACGCAACGCGACTCCCGACGCGTAGAGCGAATCGAACAGACGCCAGAACGCGTTTGCACGTGCACGACATACCGGACCGATCTGCCGCGCGCAGAGGCCTCGGGCAGGGAGTGAGGATGATGGAGCGTAGAGGTGTATCGTGCTATATGGCGTCGATTGAGGCTAAAATTCATGTCATTGAGATAGCCAATTGGATCTGTGTTGAGGGATTCAGGCGTGATATGCTGCAGTGAGAGCTATGGCCTCATACTGTGCGGTATACACGATGCATATATCGACCAAGTTGACGATGCATTACACCACTTGCGTTTTTGTAACCACAAAACTGTGATAATTGGACTCCGCAAGACCCTTCACCGACAAGTCGGTAGCAGGAATATCATATAGTGAAGACGTACACGCGAATCAGGATACCAAGACAAGTTCCACGCACAGTGTATGCATCATACGCAGCTTGGGCATGACTGTCGCCGCCATCATAGCTGCTTGGGAAATATTATACAGGTCCATGTATACGCAATGAATGGTTATGCGGAGATTGGTGATCTCGATAGCACTAGCTGTGCACCGTCTTCCACCTGGGACGATAGTACCTGATCGTTTTTCAGCGTAATACAGTCCTCTGTGTCATCTGTGCTGGGAGTAGTGAGATATAATGGCTGCAAGGCACAATAAATGTCATCCGAAAAGCAATGCGAGATACACTGGCTTACAGTGGACGTAGTCAGCCTGAAATAAGGTGCCAGCAAGTCCAACGCCTTTCCCGTTCCCATTGACTATAGCATGAACGTTTCAAGTCGCTCAACTGGTGATGATTATAGGAAATACCTTGCGGAACCAGAAGATCTTCTCTTCATCCTGTCCCTCAGCATGTACCTTGACATGGAGTTTCTGGTCAAGCGGTACCGATTTGTCTTTATCCTTCGGGTCGCCGGGCTGGGCTTTATGGCGCATCTTCATCAGTTCTACTTGCCGCATCTGTGCCGCCTTCTTAGGGTTCGTCGAACTGACAGCTTTCCTCTTCGCAGATATAGCTTGTGGTTCAGCGGAGCTAGGTGTTGTGTTGACTGCTTCTTTCCCAGGGAATAGCTTGGACAAGAGAGCACGCCCCGCCGCGTTCCTTTGGGTAGTCGACTGAGTTGGGTCTGGGGCCGTACACGCATGGGAAGCTGGTTCCCGATGTCTAGAATCAAAACATACGGTTCAGAGCATTCGAAGAACGTTTGAAGACATACGTTGCACAGAACGCCTGCGTACATCGTGGACAGACAGCAGGAGTACGACCAGCTATTTTCTCGCTGTCCGCAACGTATGCTTCTAAGCTCGGCTTCGTGCACTTGTCAGCAGCACATCGCTCCAATTTCTTGGTAGCGTCAGTACTCGCAGGTGCATCCTTCTTCCATTCTAGGAGTCGACAAGCGTGTGCCTCTGGCGAGATATGGTCCTTGCAGAATAACAAGTCGCACCGGCACCGGATAGGTAGGAAGTCGTTTAGGTTACAATTCTCCAGAGAACACTGCGCGCCGATGGCTGGAAGAGACATGGTCGTGATGCGTATAGGGCTCGAGCAAGTACAGGTTCCAGTGGGACTCGGTTGTATTTGAACCTCGGGGACGAGTTGCAGAGTGCGCGGCCCGGGTGGTGGTCCAGGAAAGAGTGGAAATAGCGTGAGCGCCGGTCGCGCAGGCTTGACCACTCTACTCCACCATCGACTTCCGTAACACCCTCGCTAACCACCTAGGACGGAATGAATATCATCGTGCGCCTCACTTTCATATTTTATATTGTGACTTGAACCAGTATGATACGCAGGAGACTCTATTCGGGCGGACAGTAACCCCCGCCGAACGGCTGCGGCAGCACCAGCGTGCTCTTGCTAAAGCTCAGCGCGAGCTCGACCGCGAGCGCACGAAGCTTGAGCAGCAGGAAAAGAAACTGGTTGCTGATATCAAGCGCAGCGCGAAAGCCGGTCAACTCGTAAGATCCCAGTGCACATATCGCCCGTCTTAGCTGAAGTCATCTCGCAGAATGCCTGCAAAGTCATGGCCAAGGATCTCGTGCGTACGAGGAGATACGTACAGAAGTTCTATCAGATGCGCACGCAACTTCAAGCTGTTGGTTTGCGAATACAAACGTTGAGGAGCAATCAGCAAATGGCCGAGGCAATGCGGGGCGCGACTCGAGTGCGTCACACTAGAATTCTCAACGGCCACCTACTCACAATCTTTTATTGTAGGCGATGGGAGCTATGAACCGTGGACTCAACCTGCCCCAGATACAGCGGATCATGAACGAGTTCGAGAAGGAGAGCGCGACGATGGACATGAAAGACGAGATGATGTCAGACGCGGTCGACGACGTGATGGACGAGGGCCTAGAGGACGAGGAAGAAGAGGGCGACAAGATCCT